CTTTGGAACAGTAAACCTTCTCAGATCTCCGCAAAGGCCATCAGACATCCCCCCCCACCCGAGAAGCAAGCGGAGGTTGACCTTCATGCTGAAGCAGACTTATCTGTGGATTTGGAGTTCTTAGTCTGCCAGGGGAGTCAGAAAGACCCTGGCAGTGGAAGACTTGCTGTCCTGGCAACTGAAACCCCTAGTTGCATAATAATTTTAACCAGTGATGCATCAAAAAAGATTGAATCCCACATAAGGCAAACATAAAAGTCCCTTCTTATATTGAGGTTAAGCCAAATGGCTTTGACTCTCAAAAGAGGAAAGGAATACTCTACACCGGCACCATGAACTGCATTGCACACAAAATGAGACACAAATGTCATCTGACTGACACAATCAATAAAATGTGTGCCAACACTCGCAGTCTTAGACCTGGTAGTTGGAGTGTGGAAAATAAGCACCATGGCTAACAGAAGTAGAAAAGCTTATCCAGTCAAGAGTAAATGGAGTGAGAAAGATATCAATTTCTTCTCAGTAGGGTTTGTAAATGAAGGGATCAATAGGAATAATCAAAGCCCTATCAAGGTGTGAAACCTCAAGGGGAACAGACCATTTTTTTTATATGGATATAAATCTGTCAAAGATAAGATGAAAAAAACCTTATAAATGTGTGCAGGTTTAAAAGAACCTACATTAGATACTTCAGAATAGGTAGAAACTGCAGAATTCCTGAACTTTAAAGCTTAACACACATCTTCAATTAAAAAGGCCACAGTTCCTTCCGGATGTTGAAACACTAAAGGTGACTGAAAATGAACAGCTGAAGTAAGGTCCTGCTCCAAAGACCATAAGGATTCAGCATCAGAAATATAATCTTCTAGAAGGACCCCAGCTAAGCCAGAAATATCTGGCATCTACTCATCCAAAGCTAAAGGAGATTAAGATTGGGGGCGTTTCTTATCCTTAGAAAATGTAGTGGTGAAGAAGCAGCCATTGATTTATCGGTTTTAGACAAAGCAGAAACAGTTCGCACAATCTTTCCCTTTAGTAATTTTTACTTACAGATAAAAACATGCAGAGACCAAGTACATTGATGTTTCAGAGCAGATGTCCCCCTGCTTGGGAGTAAATATAACAGGCAATATACATTTAAATAGCATTTTCTTTCGATGGAATACTCACAGCCCAGACCAGTGTAAAGTATCAGGGGAAAAATATAATAAAAAAACTGTATCACAGCAGACAGCAGGATAACATTGCAGAGCCAATAGGAGTTATAGAGCAGAATTAGTCTCCAGCTCCTTCTTCCTTCAGAGTCTGTGTCTTCTTCTCATGGCAGAGGGTAGGCCTGGGAGGAGAGCTGAGGTGGCACATGTATCCTCAATAGAGGTCTGGGTACACGCAACTGGCTGGCTCAATGTGGCCATGCTGATGGAGTGCAAGTGTGTGTGCATGCGCAGTAAAAAGTGCATCATAGGTTTTTTTTAAATGCCAGGAAAAGTCAAAAACAGTTAAAAAAATAAATACCGACAATAGTCCACGGAATTGGTAAAAAGGAGGGAAGGTCCCAACCCCCAGCAGGCAGAAAAAAAAACCCGTGGAGTACTCAACCTCCATGGTCCTGGTTCAAACATAAAAGGAATCTCCAGACAAAACTGGCCTGACCTCAGAAATAGTAGCTGAAATACCTCATCAGATAGGTACACAGAAAGATTGTAGGAAGGATCCATTAGTACTGGGAAGGCCTGTGCTCTTTAAATGAAAAGAAGACCATGGGAACTCTGAACCACCACAGGACGAATCATCAGTACCGAGACTAGAAATGCTTTCTGACAACTAGAGAAACTTCCAGGATTTAACTTATCCGGCATGAATCTCAGTTTTGTCGGCTAGCTAGAGACTTCCAGGACTGAATATTATCCGTCATGAATCAACTAGCAGCTCTTGACAGTAGAATCTCACTGTAGAAACAAAACAAACCAAAAATAAAAAAGCAGGAGACGACATCCATTCACCTGAGAACACTAAGTGAAACTGGCAGGTGTGAGATGGGAGGGGTGTGATCTTAAAGTAACAGGCTTTTCATTTTTTGCCTAGTGTCCAATTCTCCTGAATGCAACAGCATAACCCTATGCCTGAGAATTCTTCAGCGCTGTGTCCCTCAATTGAAGATGGAGAAAAACAATGTTGCCTTTAGTTTTGATTTAATACCTGCCTGGAAACGAGAACTACAATCAAGATAAACAAGTCAGAAACCTTACACAGTATTTTATTTGTGACCAGATGTTTCAGAGATAAAGTCCACCAATGAGTTTCCCTCAAACAGATGCATTTTCACTGTTGTGTATGGGGAGGTATACCTTGGATAAAAAGAAAGCATTGAGGGGAATTTACCAAGATTGGAGCAGACAGACTATGGAGAAGTTGTGCACGACAACCAGTTTCCAGCTTATTTTTTTAAAGCCTAACTGAACAGGCTGAAGATAGAAGCTGATTGGTTACTATACACAGCTACCCCAGGGGGGGGTGGAGGCGGGCTGCAGGACTGGATGTAAATGTGCTATCCAAATAAGTAGGTCAGTTGGCTGGACCCACAGAATTTTGTGAGAAAATTAGTAAATAGAAACAATACAGGAAATTCTAGTTTTGCATCTTACATATTTATGGCTGCATTTTGTGCTTAAGAGATATCTGCTTTACACTGAACCGAATATAGTAGGTTTATCTGCACCTGTCCAACACAAAACAGTAGCTTTGTGTATACCAATCCCGATTAAGTCAGAAACTTGAGCATCTGTAAATGCATTTACAGATAACATTTCTGTCAACTGTAGTAGATTCTCTGGAATCACGAGAAATAACCTGGCGATGCTTGCACAAGTGTGCAGTGATATCACTGGGGTAACATAGTAGAAGAGGTGGTGCAGTGGAGGCACCAATAAGTCAAACAGTTGGACATTTTTTTCATACATTCATGTTTATGTAATTTAAGGAAACCTGCTAGAAACATGGGCATTTCAAACGAAGTCTACAATGAAAAAATACATAAACAGGCTTCCTTCAGTAAAAATAAGAAACTGTATGTTGAAATTATCTGTAGATCCCAATGGCAACAGAGGAGTAAATGCAAATCCTGCCTTTTCTTGTAAAAGTGACGCTCTGTCCACCCCTTCTATTTTGATAAACAAGGCAGCTAACAGGTAAGCGGGGCATTGCAAAGCTCGACTTGTACAGGAAAAATAGAACCTTGCATTTACATTCAGCTTCCTAATTCTCTGGATCTGATTGCTTAGACATGTGGGTTTTATTGAAGGTAACATCTACTAATGCATTTTTTTATTATGTGCTCAGCCTAAACTGCCGAGGTCTGTAAGAAGTAAAAGAGAAGGTCTACATGATCTCCTAGAAACGGCATTCATCATCCATCATCACCCATAAAAAAACAAGTCTCAGGGCTGTTAGCAATAAATCAATAATTTATTCATCTAAAAAAGTGTGTAAAAGTATAGACCTTTTTGTTCACAAGGTATATATATGAAGCACATTTATACTGAAGAATCTTTAACTTTTAATTTCTTGTTTTTCGTTTTCCTTTTATTATCAAAGTTTTAATTTTTTTTTCCAGAGTGTGAGGTACCAGAGGCGGGATTAAAATTTCTTTTGGAACTCCAAAAAACTTTTTCCATTTTTCTTCGTCTGTTGGGGTTTTAATTTCCCATCTTTCATTTTTTTTTCTTTTTTTACGGCTATTTATAGATATTTGTAAATGTGTATATATATATATTTATATATATTTATATATACTTTATCTATAAAATGGAAAAAAACACAGCCGGTAAATGCTTTAAAAAAATTAGGTTCATTGAGAAATGTACAACTTTTACAATTTTTAAAAAGACGGATATATATTTCTATATACAAATACATTATCTTTTAGCCTTTGTCACAGATCAGATTTCTCCCGTTTACTGGTGAAAATTGTACGTAAAGTTCAATTTATCTGTTATTTAAAAGCACTACATTTACATGGAAAATTAGACTGGTTGTCAGTCAATGTTGTCCAAGAGACATCCCAAACTTTTCTTTTGTCATTTTTAAATAAAATAGCAATTTCACACTTTTCATCTCAGTAAATCTGCCCAGACAATACCAATACCCCTTTATCTTTAAATAGTAAATGACTGTGCATAAATCACATACATACATACATGTTTATATATTTATATATAAACGGATTTGGAAAGAGCTGCCTGTATGTTTCATGCTGTGTATTGGACTGTCAGTGATCTCAGTCACATGAAGAAAAGGATTGTGAAGAGCATATGAAAACCCTTTCATTGTATCAGCTTCTCTTGTTATAAGCTCTGCAATAAGCTGCTGCCATTCCCAGTAGAGTAAAGACACTCACAGCTGCTGTCAGATGGAACTAATGTTTTGATATGTTCATAAGGACACCTCTTTATAAATGCCAATCACTTTCATGCCTTGACTACTGATTTAAGTTCACTCCAAACCAAACTGATATGTATTTCGTAGAGTGGAACCACTTACTGACTTCTTAATCTCTTAAGAAATTAAGTAGCAAGGTCTGAGTCTGTGTCCTCCACCTTGCTCCAGAAGGAATTCAACTACTACACCCCCTTGAAAAACCACACAGAGAGGGAGATCCCAAAGACACAGAAGCTTGGAACTCAGATGCAGATCTCATATGCAACATCCCAAGACATGTGCAAAGGCAGTGGGTGACTAGACCTACCAGCCTCTACCTAAAAGTGAACAGTTTTGAAAGGAATGACCTCTTTTTCTATTTAGTAGTATCTTAACACTTCTAAAAGATTCCATAGCAATCTAACTTTTGTAGCATAATAAAAAAAAAACCCTCTGTGTACCAACAATAAATGATGCTGGGAAGCAAAACAAATAATGGAAGGAAAAAAAACTGCACAGAGCCATGAAAATCAGTCACTTCATCCATTTGCCCTGTGTACACATGATGAGCACTGTGAGCAAAAATGAAAAGACAGTCATACAAGACTGCCAAGCTGACAACCACGGCTGCTACTTCTGATCGCAGGGGCCAACACAGATGTGATAACACTGATCGAGGTTCAAGCTGTTCATATAATAACAACCTGTACATCAGGCATTGGTAAAACTGGAAAGACTTGGGTGCAGGAAGGCTCCAATTTTACTTTGCAACAACAAAGTTAACAAAATCAGAAAACCCAAGTTTTCTATTGGTCAATTGTTCTGTCTGTACAGCAGCTTGTGAACTTTTAGCCCGATTTATACCTTCTAGTGGAAACAATACTGACACAAGCTTGGCATATATGTGAAGAAAGATTTGGCACAAAAAATGACTGCTTTGACTGTCCGCCATATTGCTATCTACGAACTACTCAGGCAATAAATACACAGTGCATCATAGTTGTAGGAAGGAAAGAATCTGGAATCCGTTTCAACCAACAGATTTTTTTTTCTTTTCTTTTATAAAATCCCGCAGACCTGCAGCTGGATTCTGCAGCGTAATTGTGCTTTTAAGAAGCTGATACAATAACTGCATGGGCAGTACAAAGTGCTATATAACTTGTGTGCACCTGAAGACACAGACTGGATAGGAATGTGCCCTGTGCTAAAACCTGTTCATAATGTTATCTTTATATGTTTATTATTTAAATGAGGGCATTCAATATAGCTTGCTCACAGGAAAACCAAATTGTTTTTCACAACAGATGTTTGCTTTCATTTTCTAGTCTGCGTTAAAACACTGCAACTAGAAATGGATAGTTCAGGGAAATATGGCAGTTTTCCACAGCATTAGCTTCTATGAATGCCCAAGCTTGTTTTTAGTGCATACTGCTAGCAGCACAGACAATAGCTCCAGGTGCATTTCTTCACTGATGTGGTACACCAACATGTCCTACAGCAAGCACTGAGCACAGAAATCTTAGGGCATTCCGACTGCTGGCTGGAGATCTTCAGATATCGTTCTGTGATACCGGGAGGATTGTTCAGAGAATGTCCATTACCATGTTGTACATCTGTGTAAGCACCGTGAAGTGAACAGGTAGACATGAGGTCCGGTCCTGAGTGGCCGGGTTACAGGTCAGCCATGATAGGGCGTTATACTGCTCAAGAACAAACCTAAGGGAGGAGAATTTAACAACGGTTATACACACTTACCGTTACATAAACTTGCAAATATAATACTAATACACATTAAAGATATTGTTCTTGACATAGACAAATCTCTACAACACTACATAGAAATTATGGCCACATGAGAAACTCCTAGGGGTTAACATACATTAGGAATAACTGAGTGGATCAGAGGACGATTCTAACCTGCAAGAACAGGTTTAGACCTACTAAGTCTATTAGTCTTATATGGTATTGTAAAGAGTAAAGTGCAGTGGCTCAAAAGAACCAATCAGCGACAGTTTTATTTATCTGGTTCAAGTAATCTAAAATCTTGTCAGCTGCACTGAATAAGCCTACCCCTACAGATAGGTGCCTTTAGCAGTAGCCTGATTATATACTTGAGCTGGTGTGACTACATTTTAGGTTATACATTGTGTATTGCCACAATTTGTGTACACGGGCTCAAATGTCACAGATTCTTTTTAATAACTTATGAAAAGAAAGAAAGAGAATGCAAAAATCTACAAAATGAAAACAAATGTTACCTTAGAACATCTGATGTTGTTTTTGAGTCCAAAGGATGAGGCACACGCTGTGAAGTGCGTGCAGGAATGAGGTCATCGCTCTGAGACACAGAGATGTGATGATGCAGAGAGGCCTGTGAGAATTGGGAGACAACTTTTAGCAAGAGCCTAAGATGATGTTCAGTTAATTGCAAGAGCGAAGTGACGGGCTATTACCTTTAAAAATAAGGGGCATTGGTTTTGAGCCTGTGGACATGATGACCAGAACCACTCAGGCAGGTTTTCAGCTTTGGCTGTTGACACATAATAACCTAATGCCAAGGGCTGCTGCTTCAGTTCTTCAGGTGTCTCTCTGGAGAGAAGCCTTTCACCTTGGCTCTGCAAAAGAAAAAGAAAAAAAACACACAAGTGAGCACATTCCATCTGACAAACCTTAACTCGGCACTAACCAGTCTACCCTTATTTTAATTTCCAGTTTACATCCAATGCAGTATCTTCAGCTGGACTATAGGCTAACACTTGTTATTTCTTCTCACCTAGCATGGACAGGTTGATAAGTAGACCAGGAGGTTCTCACCAGCACACTTCCATACAAAAACAAATCAAGACCTTTTATTCAGGCACCATGGGGTCAGCCATCAAAGACAAATGTTTCGGAACCGCCCAGGATTCCCTTGCCTGGACAAACAGATCCTGTATGGTTCTGAAAGTTGGTTTGTGATGAATGACCCACTGATGTCTAAGGACTTGGTTATTAGTATGGAGGTGTGCTGGTGGGAACCTTCTTGTATGAATATGTGTGATGGTGTTATCCATCTTCTGACTTAAGCAGCCAGCAAGAAATAAAAGGGGCACTCACCAGTATAGTGTGCAAGTGACATAATCCTAAGCAACAGCATAATAGTCACCAAAAGAATAATAGAGTGCAAAGATGCAAACCCTTCTGAGCTCCAGTCCTTATACTGCAGCATAGCAATAGTACCAGGTGATTACATTTATAGCACTCTACATTTTATTAAGCAGCAAGGCTAAAGGATTTTGATAAATTAATGATCAGTTAGCTAAAAATATCAAACCACCACATTCATCGAGCAGCCATAACATTATGACCACCTGCCAAATATTGAGCAGGTCCCCCTTTTGCCACTAAAACAGCCCTGGCCCATTGAGGCATGGACTCCACTAGACCTTTCAAGGTATGCTGTGGTATCTGGCACCAAGCTGTCAGTAGCGGATCATTTAAGTCCTGTAAGCTGCGAGGTGGGTCCTCAAAAGGATCGGACTTGTTTTTCTAGCATATCACAATGAAGCTCAATTGGACTGAGATTTGGAGGCCAAGTCAACGCCTTAAACATGTGTTGCTGTGTTCCTCAAACCATTCTTGAACAATTTTTCCTCCAGTGCTGACCAATCAAGGCTGTCAGTTGCTGGAGACTGACGCCCTTGATAGCTCAGCACTGGAGGAAGGCATACTTGTAAGGCAAGTGTGCCATAAGTAATCTGTGAATTCTTGTACATTATGCCAAGATTTCACCTTAAAATTTCAATTTTACTTTCACTTTAAGTGCAGTGAAGTCAACAGGTTTACCAAACTGGATGTTGGTGTTCATTTCACTACATGTGTGCTCACTTTACACTTTAGTAAATGAGACCCTATGTCTATAAACACAATGTAAAAGCATCATTAAGGTGCACTTCAGGAGAAAAGGATATTTCCTGATAGTATTTCTACGCAGTGCGGACTGATCTAGTTGCATTAGGCATTGGGATGACTTTGCACAAATCAAAAAGCATGTATCATTGCCCAAATACATTGAAAACACCAATGCCTAAAAGCCATAACTGAGTAGTTTGTATATATGCATATTCAAATCTAAAGTAAACAATCATCTTTTAGTAGAATTTCTCACTGGTCTACAGAAGAAAAAAAAAAAGATAGTTGGCCAGCTGGTTACTGAAATACCAAATGATAGACCTACATTAAAATGATTCCATGCACTACCCACAATCTATAAAATGAGTACACTACTAAATCCATTAAAAAAAATGACATTTACATTTCAACTTCTTTTATGAAGTGATTATAATGGTGCAGGACAGCAGGCTAGGCTCGGTATTGTGGAAAGAGCAGTTTAACTTTGCAGCTTGGCAGGGAATTAGCAGACCAATTCAGTGTTCTCAAATGCCAGACTCACCCGACTGTGCTGGAAATGCGATCCAGCACCAATTCCTGTGGGAGATCCTGGAGAGGAGTTGGGGGGAGAATGTAGATTTCCTTGAATTAGGATTCCTAGATCGTTTTCCATATCAGGCATATCCGGAAAGGCCAGGTCAAACATGTCATCTGAGGAGGAGAAAGAAATTCAGAGTTGACAATTGAGTAGTATTACAATAATAAAATATAACCATCAATATAACGATATCACTAACCCTATAATAACATGTCACATAATACTAAACAACAAAAAAACATAAAAGCTGTGTCATGCATTAATGTCTGTATCAGATCTTAAATATCTACCTGAAGACAGAAAACAGCATAAAACAGGAAAGTCATTGAGAAAGCCCATTAGGAGTAATCTACAACACTGCATAGGTTAATTAGGCATTAAAAACCAATTCCATTAAACTGCCTAGCGGTGTGATTATGTCAGTATTTTTTCTTCTATTTGTCACTTTTGAATTTCCCGCCATTTCCGCCGACGCTCGCAGGGAAGGAACCCGGAAGACAGATGCCGGCATTGGCCGGAGGACACAACGGGGCTCGTAGGGACAAGGTGAATGACACTAATGTAATCCCAAGAGTGCCTCGGGGTTACCGCTTATGGTATTGAAAATTAAAGGAGAACTATGGGGTCAGGGCTTTTCCCCATAGTTCTCATAAGGGTAACGGGAGGACACAAACTAGCGTCCTCCCGTCACAGCTCAGTATATCTAGAGGCAGAGCCAGCTTTACCCGCCCCCGTCCGTTCCGCCAGTCAGCGCTGGAGGATCGGACAGGGGAGGGGGGAATCCCTGCAGGGAGCTCTGAGCGACAGTCACGGCTCTCTGCAGGGATAGATCAAGAAGTGAGCGAGCGACGGTATGTGTTTGCTCACTTCCCGATCTTTTGAGCCGACCTGTGACAGTTTCATTGTCACAGGTCAGCTAGAACTATGAGGCTGAGTGATTTTCACTCGCCTCATAGTTCTCCTTTAACCCCGAGTCACACTCGGGAATACCACCAGGGAGGTTAAGGAGAAAGATTCCCAGATACTGGAAGTCAAATGGAACTGCTTAGGAGGAGTGGTTTATACAAGTTACCAATTTTTTTAAAGCAGGAGAGCTGGTGGCTAATAGACAAGGGTAATAGGAAGAGATACCAGGATAAAATATTACTTTTAACATAAAGTATAAATCACTAGTGGTTAGCTTGGTTATCACACTCTTTGCTGGATTTTTGTGTTGTTTGTGCTCAATGTGTTTGTAATATTGGCTTTTCTTTATTAGTGGTGCATATGCTTTCTGAACATAGGGAAAAAAAAATAATTTAAGACTTAAAAAAAACAAAACATATTGCTGGAACTATTTTCCATGGTTGCAAATGATGACAACGTACCATTGCTAAAACCATCTTCATTGGCGAAGTGAGCAGGAGCAACCTGTATGGTGGCTGAAGTAGGAAACACCAAGATATGGGTGCAAGAGGCATCTTGCGGCGTGCTGAGCTGAGAAGTCTGCAGATTCAAAGCAGTGCTTCGACCAAACACCGATCCCATTGTAACTGCATCTGTGGTGAGGAATGATCAGGCTTACCGTTAGAAAAATACAAACAACAGTACACAAACATATAAAAAGTAGTATTTATACTTTTAAAAACCGGTCATAAGTTCAGGAATAGATTTATACAACAAAGAGCAGATAAATTTGCAGAATCACCTGGCATCACGTTGAAGGACCCCTGTGGTTCCATTGCTACAAGGCAGGCACTAAGAATAGATGGCGAGTCTGCAGCAGAAATGCCACACATTCTGCATGCTTCTTTTAGCTGACGGCTAATGTTCTGTAGAGAGCATTCTCCTAGTAAAATACTCCAATCTAAAACAGAAATGTAATGCATTAAAATGTATCATACATATTGCTTTGATTCTAACTGCGCATCTTTAAATTACAAACCTTTCAACTCGCCATGGCCCAGTCGTCCCAGGCGCCCGATCACCACTCTCCAGGGCAACGATGTCATTTGCATTAGACCCACACACCACTCCCATAACTTCTGCAGCCCAATTTTCCGTGCTGAAACTCTGCTTCTTCTAAACCTAAAGAAATAGCAAAGTTGACTGTGATACTGCAATCAAACTATATGTATTATCTTGCTACTTCTAGATTGATACAGACATTACCATGGTTTATTTTTCAATTCACATTTCAATTACATCAGTCACCACTGGAGGGAGCATACGCCACACGCTTCTTACACTAATCATTCCGTTTCTCTGCCAGAAGGGTAGATGCAGGACTGATGGCTCAGTGTTCACACAGTTAAATGTTGGTGTAGCCGAGCTTTCGTCAAGTATTTCAATGTGTGTTGCATTTCCTCCCCTTTGGCTGGCAGTCAGACTTGATTTAATTTAAGCAAACTTGTGATTTTCATCATTCCTTTCAGTCAATAAAAACAATACCCGTTTTTCCTCTGCCTACCACATAACAGTATTGGTGATTGACCAATGAACGACCAATCAGGCACTCTGCGCTGTGACCTGCAGACTGAGAATCATCAGGCCTATATAAGCTCCAAGTCACAACTTGTAGTTCACACAGGAATAACTATTGATCACTTTCAACAGGACAGCAAAGGGAAGGTAAGTATGTGCAGTTGGTAGTATTGAAATTTAAGTGCACGCATGCATGGGCAAAACACAGGTTTACTTCAAACTGCAGCTTTAATTGGCAATGTAACTGGTAGTTACTACTGACATTACATTGCATTACAAGGTTACAATTTACACCATTTCATAGGTATTAACCCTGTAAATTCAGGAGATAAAATCCAATAAACAGACACAAGACATTCTCACTTCTAACACACAAAGCATAGTGTGCAGATTCTTCACCTGGCATGTATTTATATTAACTTGGTCAAAATGTGGTAACTGTTTCCTGTACAAAGACACCTATATGAATGAACAGCCTCCTCACCTATTGGGCACGTGGATGTTTACGACGCAGGTATCCAGGAGCTCTCCTTGTAAATCAGTACAGGAAGCCAGCAGCCAGCGCTGATCATGGGACAGGCAATATCCCACAAATAGCACATTGTACTTCTGCCCAGCCTCACCAAATGTTTCTCCTAGTTCTGTCTGCTTGTCTTTAGTCGGGGAAAGCAGAAAAGGAGGAGAGTAAAGCTGCCCAGGAAACTGGTGCTGTAAAGAAAACCACATATTAAATGTCATTTTTTTCACATTTAAAAAAAAAGAAACAGAATGCCCTACGTCTGCGTCGCATAAATAGAAGATATTAGACAGGATGTTCACTTCATCACCCCTCAAACACAGGCTTTGAAATATTTTTCCTCTTCTGCAGCATAATTAGTAATATCTACTAGAAAGTTCAATACGCATAGCTAAATCTACTTTGCTGTTTAAGCCCAACTTACATCAGAGTTCTTCAGAATAGCATTTAGAGCAGAAGCTGGACCAAACCCAGTTAGTGGCTTGATAGGAATTTGTGTGGCTACGGGCCGTTTGCACTGGCAGTATACAGAAAATGCTAAAGACTTTAAGTGCTGGATATAAGAGACAGCTTCATCATGTACAGTCTGCAGCAGATATCGACATGGGACCACCTGAAAAACAAGATAAAAAAAAAATTATAATATATATATTATTTTTTTTAATTAAAATGTAAAAATGGTATTATATAAATAGTAATTGCCAGGGTATAATACACTTGTACTTAGTGCAATATTGTTCTTTATATACAAACCACAAAAGGAGACCCCCGCTCCCCTCTGCTGGCAGGCGATTCAGACACCTAGTAGTCAAACTGCTCCGCAAGACCACAGGAAAAAAAGTATTTTAAGTTTTACCCAAAGTCTCTACAATTATGCACGGCTTTGGGTGAAACGAGTCAATGAGGAAGTTTCAGGTAGCGCTATACTGTATTTTTGAGCATAACAAAGTTTTATACCACAATAGATTACTCAGGGTGCACACAGCTTTTTCTCTCCTGTGGTTGTACTTCATATGCTGTATAGAATAGAGCCCATTTATCATGGTATCTGAAAAAAGACATGTCTCAAATAGAACGCGCTGACCTAACTCCTTAACTCCTATAGCCCAGGAAATGACGGTAGAATAAAAACTGAACTTTGTTATTAAGGGTGCACTACGGACTGCCTACCCCTTCCCACCCTGGGCATTTTTATAAATCCAATGAGTTACATTTCTCACTAAACAGAAATCAGTCAAAATTTATTTCTAGCCAATAACTTGAATTTGCTGCGAACGCTAAAAGCTTTTGTTCTTGGGGAGGTTAAATCTTTTACTGCAGACCAAGAGTGAGTCATAGCAGTGTCATGGATATTAGGGCTGCAACAACTAAATCGATTATGAGAATAGTTGCAACTATTCTCATTATCGGTTAGTTGGCTGGGGGGGGGGGGGGGGGTTTTTTTTTTTATTCAACACACCGTTTT